GACGCGATATGCTGTATATAAGCTATGATATAAATATGACAAACTGAATACATTTTATGTGTCTATTTTGAAATGAATCTATAGTATGTATATAGAGTATATGTATAAGAATCTTAACAACACAAATAGCAGCTATATTCTTCAAGTTTGGCCCGTCGGGTTTCTTCACTCATCTCTCAAATACGGGATTTACCGTAGTATTTTTTATGGAACAGGGGGCTAATGGGCAGGAGGCTCACCTGATATTACGTGATATGCCGCCGTGTCATTGCCAGAGGGCTCGCGAGTGCGCTGCGGGCCTTTTAAGAATTGGTACGGTCTTGAAGGACCCTAAGTCGAATTGGTTCCTCATAGTGGAGGTGCGTGACAGAAACTGCCTTAAGAAACGATGATGTATATAACGCCATTAGTTTAGTTATTCATTATGCAAGATAAATCTTTATGTACCATATAAATGTGAGTAGGAACTAAGCTTACTAACTAGATAATGATAAAAAAAGTTTACACACTGGCTTTCACAGATTCACACACAACTGTGGGATTTCAAACAATTGAATCGAGAAATTAAAAAAATTTATAAAATGCGTTAAATCCTCTATTATCAAAGAATGTTAATCGATTCCAAAGTATCGATTTCTCGTTCACCTCACTGATTTACAACACCTGGCGTGGATTGATGGAAGTATCGAATTACTAAAACCATTAAACAAATGCCATGTTTTACCATCAAACGTTGTTTTGTATAAAATTCGATTAGCCGGATAAATAGGTCTATTTGTTTGGCAAATCGTTTATAGAGTTTTTGCGTCGTCACGGGCTCTTCTTAAACCAAAAATACTACTACTTTTTTTTTTACATCACTTTTTTGACGTAAAAACAATTACATTTTGTACTTACATTCTAAAGGTTATAAACATAGGTACAATATGCAACGAATCGTTGTGTTCTCACTATTAATTTTGGTTAACCTCGTACATAAAATAATTCTATGTGCACTAGCGTTTAAACTAGGCCTAGCCTGTATCTTAAGCGCTAGTTCCTTCCAGTGTCTTTAACAAATTGGTTAAGTTGTTTGTCATTAGATGTTTATTCGGGTTATATTTTTATTGTATACTTTACAAATGAATATTATCTAAGTCGTTACGCGAAGACATTTGAAACTTCTTTAACGGAACGAAGACATGTGAGGCTATATAAATAATTTGCATTTGTATCTGATATCATAATAAACTTATTTGATATTTTTTTTTGCTAATAAAAATATTAACGAAATGGTCATTTCATGTTGATCTGGCGACAGCGCGGTTTGAGACAAATCTTGTCGCTTGTTAACCGTTATAACTTAAGAGAAGAGCGTATCACTACCTTAAAGGCCGGTGACGCACTTGCAAACCTCCTGGTGTCGCAGGTGTCTATGGTGTAAGCACTTAACTCTAAGGGACCGCCTGCTCGTTTATCCCATAAAAAAATGTTTATGTTAACTAAGCAATAGTCATTATTCTTGTTGTAAAACCAAAAGCACCTCATTGCAACATTTGTAAGTGTACTTTCACATACACTGTTTCCGCGCGACGCTTGCGTTGAATCAGGAAGGCGTAGTTAAAACTAAGCATACGGCAGTAAGCAGCATTGGTTAATACTGAATACTATGTAATAATTATTATTTATTATGTATACGAACCTTCATAAATAAAAAATAAAGTTGGCATACTATGTAAAAACTACAATACATTTTATTTACTACAGTCACGGGTTCAGTATGCAAAACTTCAAGACAGCGTTAAGGTGCGTACAGACTATATAACATAACATGTTATACAACATTGCTATACAACATGTTTCAGATAATGTGGATACTGAATGTTATAAAACATGTTATAATAACATGTTATTGATATGCATGCTAGGACGAACCCAGCATGTTTTTTTAAAATGGTTATATTGCATTGTTTTTCTAATGTGTACAGTATTGTGTTATGTTATAATGTTGAATAACAAGGTTATAACACATAATATGGACGTGTTATAAAACACAAGTTATATAATATGTTACATAGTCTGTACGCACCCTAACGTTAAAATTGTAGTTCTATATAGAACAAGATTTTAAAAGTTTTAGTTAATATTTTAAAGACAGCTGACATACAACGAGGACAGTTAAATGAAACACTTTGTTTGAAGCTGGGTGTCAACTAGCTTTAATTGTTTTAAACATGAGCTTATAACTAAGATTACATTACGGGTTACATTAACAAAAAGCTAACTTAACTTATAGTTCGTAAATCTAAGTGACACTTATGTTTTTACATTATTGGAAACGAGAATGTTAAATTACAATTAATGAGTGTGGTAAAAAAAAACTAAAGAGCTCATTTTGGCTTCAAGTTTGCGATGATTGCTTACATTTTGTTTATGCTTCTACTTATTTACTAAAATACATATATCTTAACTAATGTTAGGTAACATTACTCCCGCGGTGATCTTTTGATCTTGTGATTTCTGTGAAACACATCCATTCGGATATGAAACTTTGAGCGAACTGTGTTAAAATCCAATATATTTTTGACGAATGGGAGTCCGACTAAACGCTTATCTTGTTTCTGCATCTTACTTTCTTCTTCATTCTTTTCTTTCTTTGAATTCAAATCCTATTTTTCCCAAATTCTATGGAAGTCCAGTATAAGATGGCATCACCGTTAATTAAAAACCGACAAAAATAAAAAGTCAAGTAAAAGATATGATGGTAAAGTAAATTTTTGGCCATTATTTTTGTTAAGCTTAAGGTCAAAAGGTTTTTGGTATGTCGTCGATTTCGTGGACTTAAGATTAAGCTAAGCTAGTACTCAGAGAGACTCGCAGTTTGCTCTATAAATACAGACTGTGACTTAACTCGAAAGGTAAGTCTGAGCAAAGTCTAAGTGCGCTCTATAGATCTTGCCCTAAGTATCCAAACCGTAACTTCTAGACTTGTTCGAATACATAAAGTAAATGTATGAAGTTAAGGAATATATAGAAACGGCAGCTAATCGGTTACACATTCATCAACTATTCTAAAACTAAATTGTAACGCTTTATCAATAACTGTAAAGTGGCGATCAAACGGGTGATTCACGATGAAAAGCGCTCGCAAAATAATATAAAATGAACATTTCCACCGATCCTATCTGACCACTGCATTAAATGCCGACATTTAAATGCGCGGCGGTTGATAGTTCCACATTTAAAATATTTATATACGTATGTTCTAAGCTAGATTAAAATACTTATTCATTAATTAAAATATAAATTATTTAATGTTGACGTTTTGTATGCTTCATTCAGAGGCAGTTTCAAACGTGATGTAAAATAGACAATGTAATAAATAAATTTGCTATAACTTCGATTTTGTTCCCTTTGGAGTAGAGACTCTTGGGCCGAGGGATTCAAGTGCCCAGGTTATTAACGATTTAAGTTGGCGCCTGATAGATAGGTGACCCCAGAGCTGGTGCTTTTCTGGCTCAACGAATAAGTATCGCAATACAGCGAGGAAATGCTGCCAGCGTTAAGGGTACACTGCTATAGGGACCAACCTTTTTAAATTAATAAGAACAGAGGGAAAGAGGCAGGAGGCTCATCTGATGTTAAGTGATACCGCCACTAGACATTCTCAAACCAAGAAGTCTTGCGAGTGCGTTGTCGGCCTTTTAAGAATTGGTACGCTCTTTTCTTCAAAGACCCTAAGTCGAATTGGTTCGGAAATACTTCAGTGTGGTTCCACATCGTGGTGATGCGTGGCAGAAGAAATAACGCTCAGTTGTAGAACGGTGAACGTCGATGTGATACGGTTGGAGTTTCGTATTCAGACCCCGTCGTCCGATGATGAAACTATCCATCTATATATAGCTATCATTCATAATTGTCTTTCTAGAAAAAATTCTATGACATTTTAGGCCGTCCATACGGGCATTGAACCCATCTCATTCTATAAACTAAAGCTTTGTGGTAGTCCTACACTTGTAGGTACTACACGAGTACGCCACCCAACAACTGACCGCGAATATATGAGCTTAACGTAATTGAACGAAGTACATCATTTATTCATGTCAGTTAAGTGCGTTATTGTCTAAGAAATCTCAGGGGTTCAAGATAATATTAGAGAGGATTACTCTCCCTCCGTAAATAATGGGTGGCTTTTTTAATAATATATCTTATTGTTTAATACTGTTATAGGTTTTACTAATACTGTGCCAGTACTGGTAAGTTTTTGGACTATCGACTTTCTTTTTATATATCGGATATCAAAAGAACTACATTCAAACTAGGACAATAGCAAAGTACTGAAGTCGGTATTTACAGAGTACCGGAGAGTTATTAGCCGAATACTCTGCGGCATGCGTGACCCATTAACGTCATTCAAATTTGTATTGTCACGTGACCTAATGTTTCAACAATTTTATATTATGGTAGCGGATCACGCCTATCGCAAAGTATTTTTAGAAAATTATTATCGTGCTTACAAAGATGTCATTACAGGATTATTTTAGAAAGTATGTTGATATTCTACTAATGAGTAATTAAACAATACAATAATCTTGCTTAAATGTTATTTAAATTTTGTATACGCGCTGATGGTGCACCAACAAAAATGGCGAGAATGTTAAACGAAGGATGAATGTCGCGTTCCGTTTTACTACGATGGGTCTGTAGTCCAAAATCTGACGGTTGACACGACGTGATATTATGCGTCATGATATTACATCCGTTCGTTCAATCATAATTAAATCCACAGTTTCGTCTATAGTCTATCGTTTTACACTCTCACTCCCCAGTTCTGCATATTCGCCTATGAGGATTATGTATATATATTATGAAATTAGTTTTTTATACGTGTCCGCGTATAAATGCTACGACTGACGACGAATGCTATGTCAATTCAATAATTTTAATAGATTTTTTATATTCCCAACATCCTAACAAATTTTTACTTCCACAGACTGTATCAATAAAATGAGGTGCTAAACATGGACTCGCCATCATCTCAAGACAACGACATCGAAGTCAACGTGGTATCGGGTGCCAGTAGCCCAGATATCCCCTCGTCTCCCTCCAGAAAAGATCAGAAATCTCCCTTTTACGACCTGAAGAAGGATGAAAAGGCCACAGGCAGTGCGCCGTATACAAGTTTCTCAATAAGTTCGATATTAAATAGAGCTGAACCGAGAAGAGACTCGAATGTATTGGAGGCAGCAATCGCTGCTAATCATTTTGGAAATGCGAATGATGCAATGCTGTCTAGGTATGTATATCATATTTAAAGAAAACACTTTTTTACCGGATTGAAGTTATGTATTATTATAAACGTATAATTATTTTACATAATTAAGAAATTTTCCAACGTTTCGCGTGCTTTACAGCGTGCGTGGTCACGGTGACGGTGAAGACAAAAGGTGTTGAATGTCAAAAAGTATCACAGCTGTAGAAAAAGGTGTATTATCTGTATTTATTTCCCCAGAGTTGATATTGACTAAAAGATGGAGGGTTTTGGTAGAAATGACTCACGGTGTCCTCTATTTATTTATAATAATACATAACTTCAATTCGGTAAAAAAGTGTTTTCTTTCAATGTGTAAAAGTTATGTTAATAAAAGATAATACTAGTATGTATATCTTAATTATCTGAGTCTTATTAAACCAATTTGTATTTACTTTTGAAGTACTTATTTCTCTTTTGATAATGTTTTTAATTGCTTTATACATATTTGGTAATTTATACATGTCAAGTCAAAACTTAGATATCACTATTTTTGTTAACAACATGAAGCATATGACAAAATAAGTATAAAACGGAAGCTGTTTTAATTATAATATTTAAAATTGATTTATTTTTCAACTAAATTAGCACTAAAGGCGAGCACTGGCGATGGAAACTTACAAAGTTTTGATATTAATAAGCTGGTAATGAGGCTTAGATTAAGTTTGCTTTATGAACACAATTTACTTGAACGCTACTAATAACTTCTATTAACTCATGCTATATGAATTATGTCAATAAAACTCACATTACATCAAGTTTTTTTTATCTTTACATTATCAATTGTAATTTAATAGGTTTTTTTTAAATGTTAGCTTCAATTACAAATAAATAATAAGTTTGGGAGGCTGTAGATTTTTGTTAAAATACGACGACACTATATAAAAACTAGTCTGGGTCTGTAATAGTGTTCATTCAATGAAAAATATAACATTTATTTAATGCAAACAAAGCGTTTAGTTCTTTGTCAAACTTAGGATGGAATCAATCTTTTATTTCGTATAATTTATGTAGTCCACCGTATTACTACGCTACTTATGAAGGCAATAATATATAATAGCAACACCATACACGCAGCTAACTTAATTTGAACAAGAGAAACAGCACGTCCCAAAATAATCCTTAGAAGAAACATCATTACCCCATCTAATCAACGAGATAGTTTTCCGGCCCCTTATCTGGCAACACTGCGTAAAATTCGCGGGTAAAAATGACCCTTTTATCTGTCAAACCCGTAAATGTGTAATGGGTTGTAGTGACGTGTAAACACGGTCGGTAGTGGACAGTTGACGTTTCATTTGTTTTGACTACAATTTGTTGGGATATGTTGTTCTTTAAACGAGGTTTTGCTGAATTAGATTGTTTTGGATACAACAACACAACGACCAACCCAAGAATAAGTTGTATGTATAAAGAATGCTTAAGAATTATGACATAAGAATGTACTTACAGAGAAATAACATATACATTTATACCTAGTAATATTAGCACTTATAAAACTTACAAGTTATATAACATGACACAGACTAAATTCAACTATCATTTCAAGTATATAACCACTTACTTTGAGTCCAATTGATGCGGTTGTAACAACAAATATATATTAAGCTAGAAGCAAAAACGTTGAAATATAAACTTCCTGTTAATTATAAAAACAATTGAAATAATTAAATAAAACAAGAAAAGAAATCTTGTAAAGCGTCTTTATTTTCACCCCTAGACTAATTACGCCTTCAGTGACGTCCGACATTTTGTTTATGATGTAAACCATCTGTCACTTTTCCCGCCATCGTGTTGACATCTAAACTTTTTTCTTACCTTATTCTTGTAAACGTCTTACAATTAATTAGGTAAATTGAGACAAAAAAATATTTAGAAAACAAAAGAGATTTTAAGATACTTATTTTGTAACAAGGATGATATTCGTTTATAAAACTGTCACTAATCTTGTTATTTAAGGAAGGAAAGGAATTATATAAATTTTTATAACTTTTATTTTATTTCATTACATTTAGATCAAAAGACAAAAATTATTGCTCATACATGTCATAAAATCTTTGATGTAGAAACCTCAACGTAACATATGTGTACCACTCTCTCCCCTCAATAAATAGAATCAAGACGTTATTAATAAAAGTAATAAAACCTTATTACACGCGTTAAAAAGCACAGATTATACACATACTTGTGGGACCCTCTAAATGCCCCTAATAGGTCCAAATGGGGTGGGCAGAATCTTAGCCTTCTTGGGGTGAGACGGCTACTTACCCTCTCAAATATAAATAATATAATGGACTTGGTTTTACTCCAATTTATAAGCGATAGCGATTAAAATATCATTTTGAGACGCTTAAACCTTGAACAGTTGATCGCTAGATAGAAACGCACTCAAAGTTGTTTTTTTTTTTTACAAAATTTATTAATAAAGTAATAGGTAGTGACACGCTTTACTATAACCATAAACTAAAGAATATTTTTTACTATTAAGCTCGTTTACTTCAATTCTTTTAAAGCGTTTATGTGTGAGGTATGAAATCTTGACGCTGACAATTCTTTGATAATGAACGCAAAATAGTTCTTGTTATTCGGAAAACTAAGCCGGAACCTTCGTTATTAGAATCATTAATTAAGTCGAACCACGGGGGTAATATAAATATATATTAAAAGCTATAATTTAACGCTACCCGCTTCTGTGTTAGCCCTAATTGACTGTATTCAAGGGTAGGTACTTAAGTAAGGGGAAGCTCTCCTTATCCTTTAAGAGAATTTGATATATTTGGAGATTTTTAAGGAATTTTTTTGACGGGAAGGGAGATATTGTACATAGACTGCGGTGAAAAGTCCTGTTTACTAAAATAACGATACAAGTATTATCTAAAAGGGTGCATTTCTTTACTTTAAAGAAAAATACAACTTCCTGTATTAAAACCTTTCTGTATTACAATCTGTATATCAAGATAAATATTGTAAAATTGTTATAATAACAGCCGGTTAACTGAATATAGGGTAAAGTTTGTTTTATATACTAGTTTCCATATAAACTATAATTTGTATTATTCTGTTAATCAGGTTACAGTATAGCTGTTTTTAAGGTTCTACATATAGAATGTTAAAATTTAAAAAGTGCTATATTATACGAAATTGTAGCGATGAATATTTAAACATATTTTGGAAAAGATAAGTTAGATATATGAAAAACATATTAGATATCTTTTGGAAAGTTTAGCATTATATTTCCTGAAGTATTAAAAATATTGTAGGTACCTAGTGTTAAAATAGTTCATCAGTTTTTGATAGAATCTTTGAGAACACGATTTCATCATAAGACAAAATGTTCGTGAAATTTTAATGTTGAGTTTAAACAGATATATTTATGGTATAATAAAGTATTTTCATTTAAACGGTACTTGGGAATAAAATATGCGTATTGTATAAGATAACAATTGTCCAAAAACACTTAACTCGTACAATACTTTGTAGCGTTTAACAATCGTTTAAATTTTTCGTAAAACTATTTCATAATAGCCGCTATTAAAACTTTAATTTTCTCTTAAAGCAACCAAATAAATACTATGTTATATTGACAGTTAAGCGGTTAAAAGCCCTGTTCTAGAGAATGGCCGTTAGGTTATTGTCGTCGTGACTCGTGAACCTAGAAATAAGTGAAAAGATATCTCTTAGAAGCTTTTAAACGCGTCCGAGAATACCTCCCTATCTACCAACAAAAGACTCCCGTGTCGCTTGCACAGACAAGAGATACAAGTAAACACTTTATGCTATAAAAGAAAGTACAAACGCTATTATTAGTAACAAGTGTGGAGTGTTGAGCAGACGCGCCGCAGCAAAAAGAAACGCGCGGGTGACGGGCATCGATTTTTATACCCCTCGAGGGAGGCGGGGTCATGAGACGGCCAATCAGGACGCGGTGAGCCAACCAATCATGGGGCGGCTTCTTCCTTTCCGCTTTAAAAGGAAGCAGTACTTTATCGTGTAATGGAATTTGAGTTTGGAACTTCCCTGCTGGGATTAAATGCGAGAGACCAATGCAAATTGGTTCTCTCGGATTTTTTGCTTCAGACTCAAACAGTTGCGTGAGTTTTTAAATTACATTTAGATTGAGACGATTAAATTATGAGTTTAAATAGGATCTGTTAGATATAATCTTGAAAAAGTAAAAAATATCAGTAGAACATAACCTCTTGTAGAAACCACATTTGTGTTGAATGAGGACCTATATTTAAAAAAGTTTTTTAAAACAGTTGTTATTTAAAACAGTGCTTTCAGAACACATATGAATAACTATCTAGACAAATAAAAGTTATATGAATAAAAAAATAGTTTTTATTCTCTAAACAAGTACTAAACGATTTCCTAGAAAGAAATTGTCATAAATTCGCAATCAGTTGTTTCTATTCAGCCTGCTAAATTATTGTCGATAAAGCATCCAATCGGCATTGTATGCTTATTCAAAGTTATCGATAAACATTGCTTTACTGTAATACTAGGGACGTAACCTTATCGATAATATAATATCATTATTAAATCTTAGATTTATTAATATACTAATTTTCAAATAGTCTGTAATTGGAATATAAAATAAGTGTATAATACCTATGAGAAATGTGAAGGAAAAAGTCATGATGTGAAGTGGTTTAGTTCTACACTGGTTTATTGCGACATTGTATTATGAGAGTGGCTACGTGCTACGGCGTAGCAACGTAGCGACGTTGCTCCGCCGCCGTAGAGTGATTGTAGCAAGTTATCTTTAATTTTTTACCGTTTTAATAATAATTGTTTCTTTGTTTTTTATTCTTCCTTTCTTTTTATTGTGAATAGCAGTACGCTTATTTGCCTTAGTGCTAAGTAGTTTTATGAAATGGTTTTTCTCTTTTAATAGTTCTGAATAAGCGTTTTGCCTAGCACGTATATAGTAGTAGTTAAAAAAAAATTGGATAGTATTGCAATAATACATTATTTAACTTATATTAAAATGTAGATATTTTGACAATATTCAGTAAATATCCATTAAAATGAGTCGTGAAATATATTACATCTGTAAATAAAATTAGATACACAAGTATTAATTCATTATATTATTAAATGTAATAGATAAATAGTTTTGATATTTTAATATCGTACATATATTTGCTACTAAGATAAATAGCAAAGGGAATCTTGAATGGGATTATTATTATTATTATCAAACATCCTGAATGGGATTTAATTACATATAATAATAAACACGATAGTATATTAGATTTGATAGGAAACATAAAACTCTATATATAACATTTTCTCAGTCAGGTTTCATCCATCGATAATTTAGTACATCACTACCACTCCAGGGAACGCGCCAATCCTCTTTGTTACCAAATCGATATTTATATATCGATATCTAACTGGTAAGCGAGAAAGCTTGTCGATGTCTATCGTGAACATTCGCTTTGAAAAAAGAAAAGAAAATGGCAACATTGCTCCCAGAGTGATTTATTACCTCTCTACTTTGTTGTTTTTTATTAGACGTGGAAAAGGGCTGATTCTGAAGATAAAATCCATGTTATTTTCATTATTAAACGTCAATATGGTTTATAAGACAAAACTCCATAGATACAAACAAATAAAAAATGATACAATGATGAAGGATGTATCTGTCAATGTTGGTTTTTTGAGGATGTTTTTAATGTAATATAACTATACATTCCGACACGAATTTAAAGGCGTTTAATAAGCTACCCCTCTAACACACCTATAAACCTATAGTTGACAGCTTCAAGTCTGAAAAAAATAATACTTCTGATTTGAAAGACACAGGCTGACTTGGAAGGTAGTTCATCCTGTATGTTAACGTTCGGCCAAGGAATCTAAATAAATTATACTTTATAGTATCACAGTTTATTAAAAAAAAACATTTTTTTGATTTAAGTACTTATACATAAAAATAATTTACAAACGCAATCACTTTAATCAAATGTGGGCCCAACTCAACTTTGAGTTTCTGTCACCAGCAATACGTATTTCAAGTGGGCTCTATCTTGGACAGCTACAACACTTCTTCTCTTCTTCAGGTGCTTCTTTATCAATAAATTTTGGCTGTTAGCAACTTGAATAGCCGGGTATCTTGCGCTAGTCAAAACAGCTCCGGCGGATGTGATGCCGGTCCACTTAACCCGCACGTTCCGCAACTATGACTTCTTTCTTCTACCAGCCCATCTCTTGCCATGAATTTTGCCTATCATTATTAGCTGCAACAAGTCGTATCGATGATGACAAAACGATACGCGACTTTACGTATTTTAAATAGATTCGTCGAAGGACTAAACAAAAATTAAAAAAACAAAAAACAAATATGGAACATAAAACATGACACAACGTAACTTAATTCCCATTCCAGACATACCAAAAGATAACTTTTTTATTTATTATTTCTTACTGACTAAACTAACGATAAATATCGTATACGTATCCGTAATAGCCTAGTTTATCCAGACAAGCAAATCTAAGTCAATTAACGTTCCTTGTTACAGATTGGGTCTTATATCTCAATGGAGTGCGCTAGCTGGCAGGTATGGTGGTCTTGTCCCAGCTCCTTGGTATTGGCAGAGGCCCCACGAACGGACGCCACCTAGAGGTAAATGTTATGGTCTAAGATCCCGCTATACAACGACCTTCACCGAGATGCTTATTTAATGAAACTTATTTTATATATAATTTAATATCAATAAATTTTTCAAATTTCAGTCCAGAGTATGTTTAATTAATTAAAAAAAAATATTTTTAAAATTTACCGTATTTATTATAAATTCTTACCAATAAAATGAAGCCATAAATATGCAAACTTAGGTTTTTTTAATCAATAATTATTTATGTGTATATTTTTATTGACACTAAAGTATATATACTCTTTAGTATAAAAGAAGGTTATAGTGATATATATATAATACTACCCTGATTAAAAATATTGATTCAATAAAGTTCAAAAAATTTACTACATGCAAATTATAAAAAAATTTTTTTAATATTAATTAAACATAATCTGGCCTGAAATTTGCTAGGCAACCCATTGGACTATGTTTTTGACATATTAAATTAGTGATAAAAGAAGTTTTTTTATTGTTTATCTAATAATCAAAACATCATTCGTATTTGTTTCAAAACATCCCATCGATTTTTGGTTTCCTTGCGAATTTACCTAACCTGTGACAGCTGAGGCTCGAAACGCACGACCCCAGTAGAAATTGTACCCGAGGCAGTAGCGACAGTACACTGTAGCGATTTAGAACAATAAAGTTACCATACATTACATTTTAACACATTATGCTTGATCGTATTAACGTAAGTGAAGACATTGTGGTTATAAGTATAAGCATTAAAACTAAGGGCTCTTTGAGGGCTTCAAAACCTTTTTTTTTTTTACCCCCCATTTTTTTTTTTTTAACTTTTAATACATAGAATAAGACAGTAGGTGTAGATAAGTTATACCCGCTCTACGCCCTTGACTTGCAAACTGGTAGTAAATATAAATTTACAATTAATTTAACATGACAATTCATAAGTGTACTTGTTTACCTACATGAATAAGTCATCAACGACCTTCACCGAGATGCTTATTTAATGAAACTTATTTTATATTTAATTTAATATGTCAATAAATATAACCATATGGGTTCCTAAATTTAGTCCAGAGTATGTTTAATTAATATTAAAAAAAAAATTTTTTTATAATTTGCATGTAGTAAATTTTTGAACTTTTTCAATCAATATTTTTAATCAGGGTAGTATTATATATGTATCACTATAACCTTCTTTTATACTAAAGATGTATATATACTTTAGTGTACATAAAAATATACCATAAATAATTAATTGATTAAAAAACCTAACCTTTGCTTTTTTTTTTGGCCCCCCTTCATACGTCATTGGTATCAGAATATCAATAACATACCGTGAAATGTTTAAAAAATTTTTTTTTAAATTAATTAAAAATACTCTGGACTGAAATTTGCTAGGCAACCTATATGAATTTACAAATATATTTTGAGTTTCATTAAATAAAAAACTCGGTGGAAGGGGCTTGTCAGCGGGGGCCGCTCCCCCACCCCCCCCCCCCCCCTTAAGATTTTTGAGTTTGAGTTTATAGATAAACGAGAAATAGAGTAGACGTATTATAGTTTTTGTATCTGTTTATATACATCATGTCTAGCATAAGTCTTATACGAACTTATTAAAAAAGATTTTATTTTATCATAACTCGATGTGTCTTTTGTTTATTAGGAAGCCATTTTAAAACATTTAAATGTGCGTGTCATATGCAACCTTGATTGTATCACATAGTATTAAGGCCGTTACTAAATTTGAAAGTATTAGTTATGTAAGGTGCGATTATGGCAACACTGAACACGATAATGGCGCGAATGATGTCACTGTAACACGGATTAGCACCGCTACGGCCTCCCTCAATCGATGACTGGGATTTTATATGTTGGCGATTTTATAGCAAGTACATTACTTAATTATGCATTTAAAAGTAGGTTTAATTTATTGACTGATTCGTCTGGACTATTTTTTTTAAAGGAGTGCTTATAACAGTGTAAGCTATATTATTGCAACAATAAAAGGTTGTTCCTTAAGCTAATTAATGACCACAGGTAATTTCTAAAAAAAGTCTTTTAAAAAAACGTCTAGAATTAAAACTGAACTCAAAGCTCTCTTTAACGTATTTTTTTTAATAAATTGCCAACAACAAAGCTTTGTATATTTTTATTTTTATCTGTAGGTATTTATAATTTTCCCCACCTTTCATAATATTCATATATGGAACGGTGCACATATTCGCACCGCAAAAGTTAGGCGCCATGTCATTATTCTGAATACAGTTACAAAAACTACCAAAATAATTTCCAACATACATAAGACAGATCTTTTGTTTAAGTATAAAACGAAACTTCTCACATTTTCCTGCGCTATATTTATGGTAAACAAGCAATCGTCATCCCGTCTGCTCTCTCAACCCCGCTCATTTCGCTTTAATTTTCCAAAACCCATCTCCGGGGAAAACAAAGCGAACGCCATTTCACGCGGCCCAAACCGACCGAACAATGCTTTTCTACCATCGTACTATATTTATACGTATAGCAACACTGAACTGTCAAAGCTATATCTATCTCGCTCGCTCGTGCGCCAGTTGTATTAATCGGCATTCGCGCCAAAAGCAATGTTGGCATTTGGTGATGTCGCGGTTGTTTTAATTTTCGAATGTGGTTTGTTCGGATAGCTGTCACAGCATTTGTTCGTCTTTTATTTTTTTTTTCTGATCGAAGTTTATTGTTATAAGAGCAGCCTGCTTCATTTCTCTTTCCTTTGTACCTGTGTAAATTACAAAGTGCCCTGATTAAAAACGCAATACGTGTATTGAAAAAAGACGGCACTTTTTTTACTTAAAATATTTCGACGTCAACATCCTTGAGACGCTTCTTCCACTCAATGTAACTTATTATTCCTCAAGTTAAAATACTCAATTAAATAATATTCTAAACGCATAATAGACTCATAAACTGCTTAACTAGTAAGCGTTTGTGTAAACAGCAAGCCAACGGTAACAAAGGATTACTTGATATGGCTTCTAAAATCAATGCGAATCAGTGCTACAACTAACAAATTTACACGACCTCTCCCCGCTAACACTTTTAATCGCGTGGAGTGTCAACGTATACTGGTTACTCATCTCAAAAGTTGTGCAAATTGTGGAACTGATTTTCGACTTAAGTAATGAGGCTTAAGGTGTTATATCGCTCGACAAACAGCTCGTCCCGGTTCGATTGTAGTGATTCAACCGCGTTGATGACATTCGGCTTCGCGCCTTCGTGTCGTGTTCGAATTTTGAAATTCAATATTCAAATAATTTGTGACAATGTCGCTTCCGGGGGAAATTGGTTTTATTCTTTTTAAATAAATGTTTAAAGAGTTTTTAAAACAAAAAATCAGAGATAGGAATTTAGTTAATATTGTACTTTTTGTACAAACTTAGACCAAAAACAAATTAAAGTATAAGATTCTGGGTTTTAATATAAAGATTTTATTAAATTTTATCTAGTATAAATCATATAATAATTAAAACTAGTTTAAAGCAAAAAACACAAGAAATATTGACAATTGACACGCATAAACAAAAACAGCATAACTAACAATTCGACTAATTTAACCTCAAAACTAAATCCGACACGTGAAAGCTACCAAATTGCCTAATTAAAGGCGCTGAATCCTACAATTAGATTTATTCGTATTAAACCAGAGGTAATTGGATCCGAATCGTGTCTATTTATTTCGAAACCTTTTAACGTAATCCACTAATAGTTCCATTCCATGATTTGTGAAGATTTGTTCGATTTATTTTTATTACGGAGTATTAAGGGCTAATAAGATTAGCAAAAATGAATTTTGGGGCCAGTCTGAGTGTACTTTAGTACACACAGTAGGTATCTTGTTTTCAAGACGAATAACATCTGCTTCATTGTTACAGAAGACTCAACAATGAACGAGGATGGATCTGCCGGAGGATCCCCTCGAACTCGCAGTCCACCTAGAGCACCTTCACCTCCATCCCCATCCCGTTCTTCACCTCGCTCCCCACGACTTCACCCTGCATTATACCAGCAACAACCAGATCCCCAAGACTCAGATCCCGACATAGACGAGAGCGACGACTTCGACAAAGATGAAAAACGAGATCCAAACACAAATCTCGGAAAACGGAAGAAGAAAACCCGCACCGTCTTCTCCCGATCGCAGGTGTTCCAACTCGAATCGACTTTCGACATGAAAAGGTACTTAAGTAGTTCAGAACGCGCTGGCTTAGCAGCGAGCCTACACCTAACAGAGACACAGGTGAAGATCTGGTTCCAAAACCGCCGGAACAAATGGAAAAGGCAGCTAGCCGCGGAATTAGAGGCTGCTAATATGGCGCACGCCGCGCAGAGATTAGTACGTGTGCCAATTTTGTATCACGAATCGAGGCCAGCGACAATGCCGCATACCCCCCTGCCATTGCACCCTCAATTCTCGAGTGAATCTGGGGTATATTTCCAACCTCAGGCCCCGCAGCAGATGCAGCCATTACCGGTGTCTCCAGTTACTTCGAGAGCGCCGTTATCCAGTTTAGTGTAGTGTCCGCTTGACGCCGCGAGGGACGCGGCGAATGGACAGTACTAACTAGTCATATTATGTGTTGTGAGTGTTGAAGTTAGGTTAGTTGTGTTATACGGGCAATATTGCAGTTCGCGAGTTGGCAACTCTATTGTGGCAATTAAAGCAAAAAGTTTCAATAGGTTCCACTTCCATTGATCTATGAACATTAGGACTTTATTGACTTAGATACTTATACATATACATTGCAAGGTCATTAAATCGTTAAGTAACTTTAATAAAGACGATTTCTGTTCTCTTGTGATGGAGGTTCACAAGAACAGACGCAGGAAGCTTTGGATCAACTTGCCCGTACAACACAAAGAGATATAACGTACAAAATCGTTGTCATTGCACATTTGTATTATATGTATATAGTTTTAAATCGCTAGCCAATTGTATATAGTTGCAAGACGACTGTGCTTTTTGTGTAAGATATTTAAATATTCTAAGTAATTGTTACGCTTTGCCAAATATTAATTAGTCATGTTTATTGGTTTTCGTAAATATTTTTAATGAACACTTAAGGCTGTTAGATATCGTGTAATTGTCAGAATTTAATAATTATTTTCACATTACTCTATGGTGACTGTCATCATAACAATAAGTCATTAACATTTTTAGCAAATTGTAGTAAAATATTCGGGATGTCGAAAATTACTAAATTTAGATACAGGCACTAAAGTTCTCTTGTCCTTTTCTATCCAATTGTCTTTACGTTGAATAAAAAGAGATAGATGAGTACTGAAACAGTGCAATTAGACTGTTCCAACTTCGTGAATATGGAAGAAAGGAATAGTTTATATCTTATACTGTTCACGTGGGCTACTGTGACCATCAAATCTATGACTTGTCTTTATTTGTATTTTAAAATACACAAAAACAATCACAGTAAATGCTCCGATCATTTTGTAGTATTAAAAATAGTAATAAATAATAATTTTGTTACCGAAAACCAAAAACTATAGAAATAATTTTGTATAGTGTTGCCATAATGCTAATTGTAATTAGAATAAGACCGCTATTCTAAAACGTCAAAGTTATTTATTGATAGTAGTTATTACTTCGTAAATTACTGTATTATTATAATTAATGCTAAGAGAAATAAAATATTATACATGATATCTATCTTTAATTCTTTAAAATGGGATCCAAATTGAAAAATATATAAAAAAACCCATCGCAAATTACTTTGGGTTTAATGCAACATTCTTTTTTATGTATTAGGAGGGAAATGGGCAGGAGGCTCATCTGATGTTAAGTGAAACCGCCGCCCATGGACACTTACATTGCCTGAAGGCTCGCAAGTGCTTTGCCGGCCTTTCAATACAACATATCAACATCTATGGAGTAGGTACCTAAAAAAGGTGCAAGGTTTAAATTTGTCCAACTGCGCGGAAAAAGGTTCTGAGTTTCTCATAATTACTCTGCCAAGTATACAAGAAATATTGACAATTGTCACAGTTCTTAGATAATTTGACTAATTTAACCTCAAAACTAACACGTGAAAACTCTCAAATTGCCTAAATAAACGCTGAATCCTACAATTACATTAAATCAGAGATAATTGGAATCGGAAGGAGGTTTCTGGGGTCCTCGTTATTTACTCCAACCAGCTGGCATAGGTTGCGCTTGTATACAATATAGAGCTCCCTTTTGCACCGGAAGTCTATACGTTGCATTTAGCAGTTAGTTAAATGAATACTGAAAATATATTAATAGATACTTGAAGCTATTAATTATATATTATTTTTTCTGATTATGCTTATAAATACATACATTAAAAATTTAAAAAATAAATCAGTGGCGCTACAAGCTCTTTAGGTCTTGGCCTCAGATTTCTGAATCTGTTTCATGATTCATTTTTAAATCTAATAGGCAAGTAGGTGATCAGCGTCCAGTGCCTGACACACGCCGTCGACTTTTTGGGTCTAAGACATGTCGGTTTCCTCACGATGTTTTCCTTCACCGTTCGTGCAAATGTTAAATGCGCACATAGAAAGAAAGTCCATTGGTGCTCAGCCGGGGATCGAACGTACGACCTCAGGTATGAGAGTCGCACGCTGAAGCCACTAGGCCAATACTGCTCATTATCATATACATAATCAGAAAAAAAGAATTGACCCCGTAATCTTTAGACGTAAATGTAGACGAATTGACATTATAAACTTAAAAAAATCATGTCGGTTTTTACTTCGTTGTCCCACGCTTCAAAAATTTCTAGGTACTTGAAATTCGCGTGTGTAGGGTGTTAAGTATCGGCACACTTTTACTAAACCAGAACTTCCGGCACTTCCGGCCAACCACGCGTTTCCGGCGAGGGGGCTCAACAAGTGGTTACTGTTTTAATAAAGCTTCCGAGTATTTAATTATTTTAGTTTTCATATACTATACTTACCCATTCATCTGTCTCTTTTCATCACAGTGTAAGCACCATTTGACAGAAAGGGACGGAAGAGTACTTTAGTTTTAATATAAATTAATAGGTGATTATTTAACGGTTTTGACGGTCTTTTGAGGTCAGATTTAAAAACGAGACTTATAGCGAATTATTCCTCCCACGTGTCAAATCCAATACATTTTTGACGTAAGGAAGTTTTGGCGCTAAGTTTCGTTTGTGAATCTAATTCTTATAGACAAAGTAGACAAAGAAGTAGTATGTTAAGAACAGCCTTGCGATTCTGTAACTCACTTTTCGAACTCTCACAGCGGTTTACGCAGCGGCGGTCGCGCTCAAATGAGTCGTGAAGCAGTCATTTTACGATTTGGCATTCTGATAAACAATAAACTACAAGCTCCCTCTTTATCCTCGCGAATCACTGTCCATGCGCGGCCGGTATCATTAAACATCCGGTAAGCCCATTCGCCCCCTGTTCCATAAAAAAAGTTAGCTTAACATTCAAATATTTACTTCAAAAACACGCAACTACAGTCGTATCAGTTAATTATTCCCTCGAGTATAACAAACATGACGCATAACCAACGTAATAAACGCCAATCCCAAAAAATCGCCCCACACTCACCATATCTATTTAATTAAGCGATTCTCGATATTAATTCGATTATTACTCTTCATAAAATGCTACAAAACTGACTTTTAGCAAACGATACAACGTCACGGAAGGCGACAGTAAAGCAATTTCGTTTTTATCGTCAAGAGATACAGATTATATTGCCCTATCGCGACCCTTATATAATTACCGTCACGAACACGCTATTCAAACGTTAACGTCCAAATGAATCGTAACGTTAGAAAAATAAAATTCAAATTGTGAACTACCATTCGACAATCATTAATTAAGTTTAAAAAAGAAAATCAGACCTTAAGTTCGAATGTGGAACGTTGAATTCGATTTGTACGCCCTAATCGTAGATAGAGATAGAGATCAAATGAGCGCTTTCCGGAATCTTAATTTAATTAAATTTGGAATGTTTTTGAATTTGGAATGTTATCGCGGCATCGCGCGTGCCTCCGAGTGTTGCCACGCGCCACCACCCGATTGTGACTCGGTCGTTATCATCTGTCACTTAATTATCGAAATCGACTACATTTTTTGCACGGTATGAGTGGGAATTGCTGCTTTTTAATAGTTAAATTTCCTTACTAAGGTATGTTTAAACTGCTTTAAAAGAACAAAAGTTTCCCTTTTCATTATTTCATGACATAGGGAAATTGGACTTATTTTTCAATTTGTTGTTAAAGTTATCGATTACCCAAATTGCGTGCTAATTACTCGATAAGTCGAAACGTATAATCGTCTGTCCATTTTGACAGATAACAACGAAATTACGGCTAATAGTGGGTTCCGTATCCGCCATGTTTGTTTTTTAAACCTGTCATTATTCAAATTTCGAATGGCAGATGCGTTCGGATGCGTTAATCGATTTGGGAACCACGTTTTTAATTTACCTTTATACATTTGTAGGATAAAGTCTTAACGCTATTAATATATGGGCTATTTTAGTTTTCAATAATTACCAGGTAACTTTGTCTAACATTTCAAATTACAAAATTGAAACATGGGTGCATACAATGTTGCCATTCAAATATGTGCCTTCATCATATATACATAAGTACGTATATTGTTATATGTGTTTTAATGTAAAGTTGTTAAATATATTTTGACACACGCTTCTTGAGCCGAAACAAAACAGTTAATGATCTGTTTAATTATAAACGTGCGTTTACAACAATTAAAATTTAGTTAATGACACGTGACTTGATACTTTGTACAATATATGCTGTGGTTACAAAACATCCATAGAGAATAATCGTAAATAAAAATTATGCATGAGGCTCATATTAGAATTTCAGCTTCTTTTATTATTAAATACCTCCTTTAACGATGTTTCTGCGTAAGGTTAAATCTAGTAACGACTGCAGAACCTAATACTAATTATTATCTGTAATACTAGACAATTAAATGTATGAATTAATATTAGTTCAAGGAGAAAGATCAAGTATTCCAATATTCCAACTTCATTGTTCTTTTAAATGACTGCAGGACTTATTTGTGCTTACAAATGACTCGCAAAATGCTATTCTGACTAAGTTGCCATAGTTTCTGTAAGGATTTTAATTATTTTTGAAATTTTCACATTTTACGCTACAATTTTTTTGTTTAAACTGAGGGTACAAAAACACCAAAAATCCTAGGTTTTAACCTTGGTGCTTAAAGGGCCATACAAATTTCTCAAGTAAGTTAAGAGAAGATGAATGAAGATCTAGAGATCTAGAGACACTATTTTGAACAGTTAAACAAAAGTAAAAGATAAAACAAAATTTTCATAATACATAAAACATCTAACTGACATTTATGAAGCCAAGTAATCATATTCCAGGTTGTCCAATAAATGCATTTTGAGGGTACTCTTGCACATGTACAAATTACTTATACTCCAATGACGCAAATACCTAAAGTCTTTGAGCTAAGAGAGCGCTACCCACGACAATCTACCACTGCTGTTTGCCAATTGGCAGA